AACATTGGCTGTGATAACATGACGACAGGAATGTGATCTTTCCGTGAGTTTTGCTGGGCCCACAGAAGTGAAAACTTCATTTGGGTGTCAGAAGCTTTGCTGTGAAAATCTGAGATTGGAAATAGGTGGAAGGAGTCTTCTAACAAAATCCAGGTGTCCTTAGCTTTGGAACAGGATGCTATAAAATAAAGATAAGACCTATTTCTTTGGTTCTACATGCACTCTTTGACAAAAATAACAGCCTCCTCATGGAATTTTTTTCTCCTTACTTTCTTTTTTTTTCCCTCCTTACTTTCTTAAAAAGGAAAAAATAAAGACAGAAAGGAAAAAGGAAGGAAGGAAGGAAGACCAAAACCATTTTGTTGCCATCTGGGTTTGGCTTACTGTGAAATTTTTCCACTCTAGAAAGAAAATGCTGTGTTACTGGCCATGAGGGTCATAACATTGTCCTTTTTCTCTTCTTTGGTAACAACGTTCAGGTAACAAACCTTTTTATGAGGATAAGACGTAAAGAATGGCAATATCCTTGCTGAACTTGAAAGGACTCTGTGATTTATGTCTGAATCCTAGTTGGTTTCTAATTCCATTTCTCTAAAATTTGGTTAGAACCTTATATAAGACAGTCCAATATTTCAATTTTTCTTCCTTAATAGCAGCAGGGAGTAAATGTGGTAAGGAAGGGATTCCAGAGTTTAAGAGATTCGGGATGGAACCTAAACTCTGCCCTTCTGTGTGACCTTGGGTGGGCCCTTTTTCTCCAAAAGTTTTGTTTCCTCATCTTGAAAGTGGGAATAACACCACCACCTACCTCATAGAACTGTGAGGATTAAATACATTCTTGCATGTGAAGAGCCTGACTCAGAAAATGTTTCCTCTTATTATTAGCTTGTAATTCTTTAAATAGAGATTGCCGATGGGTTAATTCAAAGTGATGCGGTAAAAGCCTCTACAGCTGTTTCCTCCTATTCAGTTCTGTGATCAACTATAGGGAAATCCTCCCAAAGGCCATTGCCCCAGCTCTTGCTTCAGTTCCATGCCCTATAATCCCTTCTTCCCGCTGGGCTGACTGAGGCCAGTGCTCCAGAACCTTGGACAGCTCCACTTCTTAGCAATTCTGTGATCTGCCTGTGGGAGAGGAGCGGGAGCAGGAAAAACCTGGGGAACTTCCCCAGAAAGGAGGCTTTAATGCCATAATTTAGGAATCCCAGGGGCTGCAGTCTCACTCCCAGCATGCATGCTGACATTTAGATGCATGCGGACACTGGCATGCATGTTCAGATTCTTCAACATGACCAGCCCTCCTGGAAATTTCTATGGGGCCTCTTCTCAGAAAGCCATAACTCCACCATAAGATTTACTGAACTATAGAGTCCTTTTTTCCTTTCCTGTGAACTTCAAGAATTTTTTGAGCCCAAAAAGAACAGAAACACCACCCACATCTTCCTGTATCTGCTGATATTTAATTTGTTTGGCTTCAGTACAAGGATTAAACATTCTTGATTAACCTCAAATGAAAGTAATAATGTATGAGCATGAGGAAATGTTTTACAAGACAAAGATTCAGGGATGAATTAAAAGAAACATAAAATAATGTTACTGCCTGTAGGTGATGTTAAGCACCATTCTCTAATCAGGATAAGCAGGTGGTTCAATTTATGAGGTAATTTAGCTTTCCATTCTCCAATGCAGAACACAACACACTATATGCAGTCACCTTCCAAACAGGCGAGGAAGAAATTAAGTCCTATTTTTACTTTATGATACTGAGTCACGTAGTTCAATGCAAATCACATGGATGCCAAAGTAAGAACAATGCCAGGTATTTAAATACATCCTTTTCTTTGAGGAGCTCTAACGATTTTGTGACAGCATGAAATCCCTTCAGAATGACTCTAGGAGAAGAGACACTTGTCACCAGGTGGGCATTTAGGATTAAGCATGTTTTATCCACCACCCCCCACTCCTATCATTATCTCTGGAAAAGGCAGTGTTTGCAAGCTTTCTGCATTTAGTAATAGCTTCCAAATGTCTGCATATTCTAGGCCATATCATATTGAAGAAAAGAATACTTGTCTTTGAAAAATATGTTATTGAATAACTTAATGAGGAAGAGAAGAGGATAAAAGAGAAACAGGAAAAGATAGGAAGGGAACAGTAAAGATATAAGAGAGACCAGGAAGATGTCTAAATCTTCCTGAACTTGATAAATGTTTTCCATGCATTGTCTTCATGAATGAATTTGATGCCGATCCTCAACTGAACAGAAACACAAAGGCCTTCAGGTCCTCTTTAAACATTTCCAAAGGAGTGAAGACATCAGCAGTTCCACTGCTTGAACTCTCTTGAAGGAACTGCAGACAAGAACATCAACTCAGGACTCCAAAGGTAGACAGGGAGCCCCCAAGTAGAAAGGTTCGTGGTTTGACTTAACAATGCCCACCCCTATTCTGTGATTCTACATAAGGCAGAGAATTGGTTGTCAAATTTTCCTTGGTTTGACTTTCTCCCAGCAGAGGTCGCTGTGGATACTAGCAGTGGACATTTGTGGGGACTAGACCCCACAGGCTGGTATTCCCCTGCTGAGTACCTGCTCTTCCAGTGGTCACAGTCTAGCTTTTCATTCTATGGGAAGAAAACTTCTCAAAGACACAAAACATTTTTGCCATAAAAGTACCATGAAATTGGAGTCAATTGCTAGGGATGGGCAGGAATGGGAAGGTTGTGTTATCTTCTAAGGGTATTACCTTGTAATGGAATCTCTGTAATGGAAGCCCTGGTGTCCTCTCTGTCAATGTACCTGGCACTTCTGACACTTCACCCATAACTGACCAGCAACCCTAGCCCTGTATTCCTTCCAGACATGAAGGCCAAAGTGAAAAAATTTGCCTTGCCACACATCTTGCACCCACCTCATAAGGGACTCTGTTGATGAGCAACCCCCTGCAAAAACAAAACAAAACTTTACTTGGCAGCCCTGGGGAGTAGTGGAGCAGAACTCTGGTCCTCAGGGCAGCCCATCATAGCAGGATAAAATCTCTGAGGGATGGGAACGGCAGGGTACTGGTGAGGATGTAAGGGTCAGCCCTGGGGCTCTAAAAAGGCTAGAGAAAATTTCACATTCTTGTGAAGTCCCACTTACTGGACCATACCCAGGTTTGCAAGATAGTTCCAAGGAAGCCTGAAGCTGCCTCCACCCTGAAGGCATACCCTCAGACACCAGGTCATTACTTGAGAGTTCAGAGGTTGACTAAACCTGCACTTTGACATCCAAGCCTAACAGTAAGTGGCTCTTCTCTCTCCCCCACCTCACCCTCCACCCCTCTCTATTCCTCTCTCCTCTCTTTCTTCTCTGCCAGGTTCAGTCTCACCATGACAAACACATGAACACAGCTCTGACCCACATTATCACCAATGCAAACTAATTCCCCCTCCTTCTCTCTCTCCCCCAGAACCAGATTTGGCCTAATATGGCTATGGTGGAGACAGTCAGACTCTGACCCACTCGTGTCCCCTGCACCCCATGTCTCTCTGCAAGGTGGAGCCCCTACATGTCCCTGTCCTCGTGCTCACAAGTCCTGGCCTTGTGCATACAGTATCCTGGGGACCCGGCCGGCAGGGGGTCGCAGGGGTGGGAAAGGGAAGCGTGTAAGGCAAGTGCCTTGTCCCGGAGCAGCCGCCTCCTCCCTCGGGATTTTCCATCCCTGCTCGCGCGGGTTCCCGAAGAACGAGCGCGCTTTGTCTCTCTCCTGGCTCCTGGCACGTTTCCGCGGAAGCAACCCGCGCCGCGCCCGAGCCCTCCCCCTCCCCGCACTCAGCCGCGCCCCTCGCCCAACCAGCCGTGCACGCCTGCCAGTGCGGCCACGGCGGCTTTGTCCTCCCATGGATGCCTGGGCAGTGCGCGAAAGCCAGGCACTCAGGAGTGGCCGCTGGGCGCCCGGGAAGCAGATACCCTCCGCCGGATCTGGGGCGCGCCCCACGCGGAATGGAGCAGCTCTAGAGAATCCTCCGGCGCGGGGGACATCCGCCTGAAGCTCCAGGTTGCCTGAGAGGGGACCCGCCCCGTCCTGCCCCACACATGCCCATCTGGGGTTGGCTACCCGCCTGAGGTCCCCGGGGCGTGGCGGAGTAGGGAGGGTCGTCTTGATTCACTGAGCCCGGGACCTGGATCCAGGTGGAGAGGGCCTGGGAGGGAAGAGCCAGGTAGGGAGGGGTTCCTCAAATCCTCTTACTTCTCCCTACCCACCTCTCACACCCAGGCCACTCTGTCAGACCTTAGGAGCGGCTGGGCACGCAAGACCCGGAGCATCTGTCAATGCTCTCCTTTAAGGGCTACTTGGAGCAAAGGTGGGGAGGGGTCTCTGGGCATTTCCCCCCTCACATCTCAACAACCTCCCTGCCTCCCCCATCAAAAGAAAAAAACCCTAGGAGAGTAGAAATGGTAGGGGGGAAGAGTCTTTGGTCTATCCACATCCTCAATCTCCCTCTTCACAAAACCCTAGGCTGTAGGGGGAGGGCGTGGGAAGGGTCTCCCTTACAGCTTGCACCCCAGGAGGGTCTGAACTGAGGGGAGGAGTCCCGCGGTCTCATTCATCACAACCAACCCCTTTGTAACCTCGAGCTGCTGGGTTGCTGTGGGGAAGGATCCCCCTGCCTCTGAACCTCTCATCCCAGAGCACTCCCACCCAGCCTCAATAATCCAAGCAGCCTCGACTTCAGGCACAGAGGGAGGGAGACTCCAAGCCTTCCACGCTCTCCCAGGAGAGATGGGGGGAGGGTCCCCAAGCCCTCGCTCCTCACACTTAAGAAACCCCTCCACCATGAAACAAAAACTAACCCAAGCTGCTGCGACCTTAGGCGCCCTGCCACGGGGTCAGTCAGCTGCTATCCGGGACGGAGGATCTTAAGAGCGGCGCTACACATCCCATCAACTCCCAAGGCCCCCCTCACGCATCAGTGCATCACCCCTCCAATAAAACAAAAGCGCATCTTGCAGCACAAACCTCGGGCAGCAGGCAGGAGAGCGATTAGCGCGCGGAAGCGTACCCGGAGCCCACCGGCTCCTCACCGCTCCGGTTTCCCGGCCGCGGATCTCGCGGCGGCTGCGGCAGCTGCGGTGGCAGAGACCGCGGCTCTGGCGTCCGGAGCCTCCCTCGGACTCAGCACCTGGAGCGGCGAACAGCTCCGCGCCTCATTCCTCTGACCCCGCCTTCCCCGCGTCGCCGTAGCCAATGGCGGCAAAGGCCCCGCCTAGGAGGCTGCCCATTGGGGGGGTCACTGTCCCCCGGTTCCTCTGGCCCCGCCCGTAGGTGCCTGGGTCCCTTGGTCAAGACCACATTCCCCAGAGACCGCCGGAGTTTTCGCATGGCCTTCTGGAACTTGTAGTACCCTAATGACGCGGAATGGGCTTATACCGCGGGCAGGCAAACGGAGATGGACTGCATTTCCCAGACTGCATCGAAGAAACCGTGACGCGGAGGAGGGCGGGAGGACTGTTTCCATAGCAAAAATGGCCAGTGGGGGGATGCCTGGCGAAGAAATGGGGTCGGCCCCGCGACCCTCAAAAAATCGTGTGTGACCTCGGACAGCTTTTTAGGCTGTTTTATTATCTTAAAAAAAAATTCTTACCTTAGGACCCTGGACCTCAGTTTTCCTATCTGGGAAGAGGGGCGAGGAGATGTTCATCGCCCACACTTAGCGGTCCCGGGGCAAATCGAGGACGAACCGCTTTGGTCCCTGACAGCAACGGCGAAGGAAGGAGGAGTCATTTCCATCGTTCTCTAAACTTTCCCTATTCTGTCATAAAGGAGCGCTTTACTTTTGTTCACATCCATTGCCAGCCCACCAAGGCCTCTCATCTTGTCTCCTTCCCATCCCGGGATATCGCAGCATCTCCTCCACTGCAACCTGACAGAGGGCGCTACTTTGGCTTAAAACTCTTCACAGGCCTCCCAATGTCTCCTGAATTAAGATCACATTCCCCAGAGTGACTGGAAAAGTCCTTCAAGATCTGGACTCCACCTTCTTGCAATACCGACTTCTTTGGAAACTGGGAAGCCTTAAACACCCATTTTCTGTCGCTCCCTTGGGCCCCTCCACCATGTCCTCAGCTAACTCCTCAACACCCTTCAGGCCCCAGCCTAGATACTGCCAGTTGGACTGTGCATTAGGTGCCCCACCCTGTGTTTGAGCAGCACCCTCTATTTCCCCTATTCTGTTTGCATGTTTACAATACCCATCTTCCTCATTAGATTGTGAGATTCCACAGAGCCATTTCTCTATTATTCATTTTTTACAGTCCAGTGCCTATAGCATCTGGCACTTAGTAGGTATTCAAATTAAATCTATACATGGATACTTGTTGAGTTGAAAATGAGTAGAAATTTAACTGAACTTCACTCACATACACCTCCAAAATCTTGATTTCCTAAGGTTGTGCATTTCCCATTGCTGGAGATGTTCAACATAAAGGATGCCACACCTTGAAGAAATATTTATGTCACCCATATAGTGAGTTTGGATTTTTTCTGAATGCTCTGGGGCCCTTCTAATCCTATGATGCTAGGGATTATAGATCCATGCCTGTTATTCCTGTCAGTTCTTCCCTAAATGTCATCAGTTCTTCATGTTCCTCTATTTCTAGCTGTTGGCCCTACTCCTTTCTGTGCCTAAGTGCCCTACCTCCCACTCCCCTTCTGGGGAAGATCTTCTCCTTCTCCTAGGCTACTACCACTGAGCTACATCCCAATCCTGTTTAAAATTTTATTTGAGACAGTCTAACTAAGTTGACTGGGCTGTACTCAAACTTGTGATCCTTCTGTCTAAGTCTCCCAAGTAGCTGGAATTACAGGCATGTGCCATCACATCTGGCTCTGTGGGAAATCTTCTGCCCCTGGGAGTTATGAAGTAGACACAGCCTGAGATCTCTGCCCTTCTTTCAACCTTCTGCTCAGCATCATAGGGCACCAGTAAGATATCCCACCTTGCTAGGTATCATCTTTCCTGAATCCCCACTAACGGTTCTGATGTTGGCTAGATAGTCCAATTTAGTCTGCACATGCTTCATTTGTCATCCCTCCAGAAGTTTTGGGTGTATATCAACTGAGGCCTTCTGGGAAGAATGCCTTAATATATGAGTATAATTAATTCATGGCCAAAAAGGAAGTAACCAGGGAAACTTTTACCCTGAAAATAATTCAAACCAAAGATGCAGAGCCTAAGAGAAAACAATCTTGTTATCCTTGAATTGGTGACAGCCAGGAAGGGAAGGCTGAATGGGGAAATGAGTAAAATGGATGGCATTTAGGGAAGAACTGATAGGGCTTCTAAGAGGCATGGAAGAGGGCTTTGATCCTAGCTAAACCATCAAGGAAGGCAATTGGAGCTGGGTGAACAGATGGGACCTCATTACTGAAAATGAGAACACTGCAAGGAGCAGGGGAAATGGGGTGTGTGCTGAAGCTTGGTGTCCAATTTTGTGAATGCAATACGAGCAGAGGCTGTTAGAAAAGTGGATAGTGGGAAGACAATGCCACAAGGTGGACATTGGCAGAGAATCTGCAAAATGCTACGGAAGAAGCCCACCTGGAGCCAGAGCCTAAGCCCTCTGGAGATTCAGAAGTACTGCTAGGGTTGAGGTGTAGCTCAGTGGTAGAGCACTTGCCTAGCAGGCATGAGTACTTGGGTTCAATCCTCAATATTCTAAAAAAAAAAAAAAGTAGTGCAAGTTTTCAGGAAATTGTTACAAGTTGGAAAAGATCAAGGTCTCTTGATTCTCCCTGAACACAGGGACTAAAATAGCATCTTCTCAATCAAAAAGAGTCAGGAGGCCTGGGTTCTAATACTGATTTTACCTCTGATTAGATATGTGACCCTGGCTTGGATCTGTTTCTTCCATTGTAAATGCAGTTAATTGGGGTTAGGGAGAAGCTAATAAGGGTAGAGGTGAGGAAATTCAAATGCATTTACTAGCTGTGTGACCTTGCACAAACGACCTTCTTGGATCTGCAGTTTGCTTATTTGAAAATGTTGTAAGGGATAAATGAGACACCCTATGTGAAGTACTTCGTAAATATTAAGACTAATGTCTGTCTGTTTCCACATTTTCCATCTTGGATGAGTTGATATTAATTTGACTATGAATGGACTGTAGAAGATGATCTCCTAGGTAATCTGGGTTGGACTCCCTATTCCCTCTCTTAATACTTGTGTGACTTTGGTCAAGTTATTTAATCTTTAATCCTGTATGTCTACATTTTCATTTTTGAGAAATGGAAATAATGTGTACCTCAGAGTTGTGGAGAATTAGATGAAATAAGGTGACTGACTATGAGAAAATGCTCCGTGTGTCTGTTTTGTCATTTTTAGGGGTAGTTTTAGACCACAGAACTGTAAAGGAATAAAATTCTAGATGCTTAAAGCTAACATTGCAGAGGATTCCAAGGGAACATTGTACCAGTTTTATACCTTCTTAGAGGGGTAAAAGGGTCTCAGCAATTGATACTGAATCTCAGATACTGAGGGTTTGGAACAATTTATCAGTGCTGTGTCCTAAAGAGTTTAGTATACTAAGATGATGACATAAACTTAATTTGAACATTTTAAAGGTCAGGTGCATTTCTAAAGGTCTAGGACTGTGTAGAGAATGGCCAGAGAAGAAAAGACTGGGATGTAGACTGGAAAGCTGTGGCAGTCATCCAGCAGGGTGTGGAAAAGTAGATCTGAGCTATCCTAAGGTGAATACTCAGGGGACTTTGTGAGTGATGAGCTGAGAGTAGGGAGGAGAGTGGCCATAGCTGAGACCCAGGTTTCTGCCTTGGGTAACTAGATGGATGGAGGGTGGTGCTCTTCCCCTGAGATGTGAAATAGTGAAGGAGAAGTTTAGGCAGAAAGTGGAAGAGGTGAATTTGAATTGCATATGGTATACGAGGTGAGATGTCCCAGCAGTTGGTTTCGAACTTATGAGACCTGATCTGGAGGTAGAGACATAAATTATCGAATATCAGCCTATGGATCATAATTATAGATATGAGTTAACTCCTTTAGTAGAGATGGTTGAAGAGAAGACCCCAATTCCTGGGGAAATATCAACATTTAATGAATAAGTGGAGGAAGAGGAGCCCAGAAAGACAGGTGGAAAGAACATCAGAGAAACAGGAAGAGAATAGGGTACCAATGAGGCCAAAGAGAGGAAGTAGGGTGACATGGTGCAGCAAGGTCAGATAAGCCAAGATTTGAAACAAACAAACTAAATGAAGCAACAAAAAAGGTCACTGGTGGCCTTGGAGAGATGAGGTTCAATGGTCTAGCAGAGGTGGAAATCTGAGTGAACGAGAGGACTTGAGGACAACCCTTGGAAGTGGATTAATTTTGAAGAGAAGGACAGGTAAAAAAAACAAAAAGGAACACATTTGTTTGGGTTGGGAGAGATTAAGTCATTAAAGGCTGATGGGGAGAAGTCAGAAGAGTGACAGTGAAGGATAAACAAGGAGGGATTGAAGGAGGGAGTGAAGTCTATGAGAGGGTGAAGGTGGTAGGATTTAGAGTGAGCCTCAGGCAGGAGGAGAACTCATTTTTCCTCTAAGATGGAAGGAAATGAGGGAAGGAGGAGTCAGGAAATTGAAGTTCATACCTTATGACCATTCTCCTCTGATACTGAAAGCAAGAATTATGTGCTCAATGGGAGGAGATCGAATAGGATGGGAAATTTTGATAAAGAAGAAAAGATTCAAGATGGTTACTGCAGAAAAGAGAAGGGGAAAGCTAATAGTGACTCACAGAGGCTTCAGGGAAGTGGTGAGGGCCTGCAGAGGTTGGGGACCATGGGCTTGTAGCGCATCATTCTGTGTGGATGTGAGCTTTGTCCATCTCATCAGCCCTGAGATAGGTAAAGAGAAGGCTATTGGTGAGGATGATTCAAGGCTGGGTTTGCTGGACAAAGGAGACAAGGAAATAAGGGATTTGGAGATGCTGATAATCAGAGAAATAGAGGTAGTGGTCCACCAAGATGAAGGTGAAACCAGGATGGAGTGGACAGATGGAGGCAGTGAGTTTCTTGGTGGAGTAAAGGGACTGATGCGTTGAGTGGCAGGGAAGACCAGAGAAGGCAAGCATTGCTGGTCAGAGGAGGAGAAGCTCTGGGCAGGGACAGGGAAAGGGTGGCTGGAGTAGACCAAATAGGTTTAGGGA